GACTATCAGGAGAGGCGATCTCCTCCTCGGACTTTGTATGCTTTGCAATAATTTTAATAATACCACATAAATGTGAAAGAAAACAGCAGCCAGAAACCCCCTATGTATTGATCCACAGGAAATACTCTTAGTTCTCAGCTGTACAAGACCAGGTTGCTTCTAAGAATATTTACATTTTATTCAGTACAATAAGATGTTTTGGAGACCCTCACTCTGAAACTCTACCCGTTAATTTCTTTTAACTCGGAGTCTGGCATCCTGGGAATCTTGTTGGCCTTCTACAAGAAACTTTGTCTTTAAAATCAGAACTATTTGTTTTATTCTTAGCTGCAACAGAACAGTAGCTTCAAAGAGAATTCAGTCAATGTGTGACATTTATCTTTATAGCAAACGGACATAATCTTCCCTCTATCGTGTCCCCTTTCAGAGGAGCCGTGTAGCATGTGCTGGGGGCACAGGGTCACATGAAAGAAAACTCCCCCTCAAGTGTCACATCTCTCTTGCAGGGAGAAAAGGCTATCGAGTGGTGGACTCTTTAAGGAATTAAATACACCATGACCTGGCAACCACTGAATCCTGTTCAAAAAAGAAGAATAAGGCCAAACCTAAAAGACAATTTTTTTTCATGGTTTGGACTTCCCTTGACCTAAAGAAGGTCAAAGAAATGCTGGTGTCTAAATTACTCAAGGCAGGATCAGCTTTTCTAGCATATATCTCTTTGTAACTTAAGAATCAACTTCATATGCCCTTTTTTTTGGCAACATTTTGAGAAATCGCTTTTTAAAAATGCAATCCCTGAATCAGAATGGTGTGTAGTTTATTTTTGTGGCTTTTTGTTGTTGTTGTTGAGGTGGTTATGATTTGTTTACTTAAGTTATTAGGCAACAGAAACTCTTTTCCCTGCTGTGAGAGGCCGGTCCACCTATGTATTTTGAATCAAACTAAGATTTCCTCCTGAGGGAAAGGAAAAAACAATCAAGACAAATGTTCTGAAACAGGGGTGATGGCTCTCACATTTCCATAACGCTTCTTACATAAATTAAAGGTACAACCCAGTCTAGCCCCAGGTGGCCTCCCGAACCAACAGTATAATGTGTGGAAGGTGGGGGATGAGGGGGAGGAAAGGAATAGGAGTCAGGGAGGGTGGAGGAGACAGTTGGAGATGATCCACCTTTCCTTCCACTCCTCAGATGCCAGTATCAGTGATCCCCAGTAACACCAAATCATGTACCCATGATACAAAGACAAATAACAAAATCAGATACTCTATGAACTCCTTATGAACCCATAATCTAGCTAGGCAGCTGAGAAGTAATGATATTCACTTTAACTGAAAAGAGTGTGGGCATCCCCTTTTCCAATCCATGCAATAACAAACAGAACTTGAATGTAGGATGTGTCTACGTGGACGTAAGGAATATTTTTTGAGTAAGAGTAAGAATTTCAAGGGTCCTCGTTTTCTTGGCAGTGATCTTTCCTCATACATGAGTTTTAAAAAATGAAATACTTTTTTAAATACAGTTACTGTGCTGATGAAGCTGCTTCTCCAAGTCTTGGACTATGAACACAGGCACGTTGAAAAGGGGGAGTGGGGGTGGGGAGGCCTTAGGTACAAGTCAATCAGCAGGAGGTTCTACAACCCAAAGCTGAGACGTTCCTTTCCCTCCTCTTTCAGTTTGAACATTCTGAACATCCATTGATTAAAATATTAAGTGTTTCAGCAATAGAATAAATTTAGTAAAAAGCAAAGTAAGAAACGATTTCTTATAGATCTCCTATATTAAATTCTTCTGAGAAGCCCACTGAGTTGTTGGCATAGATTAAATGCATTTAAACCAAAAAAGGAACACAGCTTTTCCCTAGGGTGTATTTCCTACAACAAAACAAACAAAAAGTCTACCATTCACTGGAAGCTCATGACCTCTTTCTCATCTTTATATGCATCTAGTCGTTTCAGGGAAAAAAATTATAATCACAACCATTGTTGCTTATACCCAAGACTACTTTAACATGACAAAGCTGCTACAGTTTGGCCTTCAGGGGACATGGTTTTATCAGTCACTTCTTTCCAAGTCTTCAGTCAACTGAAGTTTAATATTAATTTTGTATAAGCTATTCCAAGTAATTAATGTCCAGAAGAATTTATACTAGAAACACCATTCATACATTTATTCAATAACTAGATGTGAAGAATATATATATATATATATAATTATTATTTTCATTTATTCATTTTTTATTTTTTTGAGACAGAGTCTCACCCAGGCTGGAGTGCAGTGGCACGATCTCAGCTCACTGCAACCTCCGCCTCCCAGGTTCAGGCAATCCTCCTGCCTCAGACTCCCGAGTGGCTGGGATTACAGGCATACACCATGATGCCCGGCTAATTTTTGCATTTTTAGTAGAGACATGGTTTTGCCGTATTGGTCAGGCTAGTCCCGACTCCCTGATCTCAGGTGACCCACCTGCCTTGGCCTCTCAAAGTGCTGGGATTACGGGCGTGAGCCACTGTCCCCAACCTAAAATTATATTTAGTATATAGCCATACCTTTCTTTCTACCACTATCCCTAAAGGAAATTTCTGTAAGTCAGGGGTGATTTTTTTTCCATGTAAAATTACCCCAGCCTCCTTTGCTTTTCTTGTTTCCAAATTTTACCCATCTCTCCTTATTTCACCAGACGGCAGGTGAGAAGAAAGGAGAAATGAAATTGATAAACCTTCTAGGATTTTATTGACATTTCAGAATCTCTAGAGTGAACAGTTTGGATCACTGAGAGCCATAAAAGTCCCAAATACACATTTTCCTCACTGTCTTCTGCTGTTGACTCAAGTGTTGAATTATAATTAGCGCATATAGCTCACTCAGCAATTTAAATGGAAATTTGTCATAAATGCATCAAATCGACGTTAACTGTGATCGTTCAGTCAATTATTTGCCATTCCAAACCCTCTTCATCACTGTTGCTGCAAATAATCAAAAGTTGGCTAGACACACACAGCAGCAGTGTTTGTACCGATGAGGACACACATAACCTACTTCCTGCTCCAGTCTGGCAGGATATCCTTAAGAGACATCTGAAACCCCAACATGCATCCCCAGGAACATGTATTTCGTGCACACGATTTAAAAGCAAACCAGAACAAGAAATGGTGTTTCCTCTGTGAGAACGCAAGTGACTAAATTTCCCCCTCAGATGAAGAATTGTGACTACCAGTGTCCTATATGACAGCGATTTCTCCTTCGGAAAGACTGCCTCCACTAGAAAAACCTTAGGATTCAAATTTTCCACATGCATATTCCTTCAGAATTGGATTGGATTTGACTTAAATAAAGCATTCACAGGAAATGTGTTGATTATGTTTGATTGACAATCTTTTTTAGAGTTCTTACAGGACAAGAAATTGTAGAAGAATAGGATATGTGAAAAGGGCTTAAATTCCACAAAAAAGTAATAAAAATGCTAACATAAAAGTATATGCTGTGATAAATTAGGGCAGAGTAGTTCCTGATTGTACAAAAGTCCATTTGTGATGGAGGCAGCAGGAGTGTGGGCTCTCCGTTGTCCACTATTTCAAAAGCAGTGGGCTTTTTTCCCCCCATGTTCAGTGATGCCATGCACTCCATGACAAAGATGCTTTGATCTTCCCCCATTAAATATATCTTGTATAGACCTAGCCTGAACTTAGTAAGAAAAAAAATCATTTGTATGAAAGGGAGGAAATGCTGTATGTCTCTAAGATTATTCATTACCTTTCAAAAGGGAAGCTATTTGTGAAGTCTTTGTGTATTACGTAGACGGAAAGACTACTATGCTGCTTACTTAAAGTATTTTTGTTGTGCTCTTGCTTTTTTATTCTTGCCTCAGATCAGATGGGGAACCCAACTGAAAAAGGCAATAAGACATGGCAGCTGATAGTCAAAAGGACTTACACGATGATTGAAAGAAAAGATGCCATACCTGAATTGGAGGGTTTAGAAACTCTTCCCTTAGGAACTGGGAGTAATAATAATTCCAGAGATTGTGGTGGTGGTGGTGGAGGTGGCGGTGGAGGAGGCGGAGTGACTTTTTCTGGTTTCTTCTCTGAAGGCGGGGGCGGTAAAGGGTCCTCAGGCAGCAGCGATGATTTCTCAGCCAGAAGACTGCCAGCAGCCCGTGCGGCCACCTCCTTCAGAAGGGCCGCTGAGGAGGTCATAGAAGCCAGGGAAAGGAAGGAGCTGGCGGGAGGAGGGTGCTCCTGACCGGGAGTCAAACTTCTCTCACTGACCTTCTTGGACAAAGCGGCCAAGGTAGAACTGGCAGACTGGGAGCTAAAAGGGGAGGAAAAGGACTCAAATCGCATGGTCTCCTCAGTCCTGGTGAGAGATTTGTCCTGCAGAACGGCATTGGCTGCAGCTTTCAGTTTTAGGATGGCTGAATCCGGAGACAAGCTGCAGGCGGTGGTTGAGTTTGGCAACCACTTACCTTGATTCCATATAAAACGGTTACTTGGAGTGTATTGGTCATTCTGTTCCTGCTTCTCGGCCAACTTCCTGGCCAGAACACTGAGCTGCTGGGCGTGGTGGGAAGGCGGGGAAAAGGAGAGGTTCGAGCCAACGTTTACGGGGGACTCCACTCTGCCATTGGCTGTGGCCGCAGCATCCAGTTTGAGGGAACCAGCCTCCAACAGCCGCCTCAAGTTGCTGCTCAGGGGCTTGTTAGAGCCTGGGTCATCTTCACATAAAGAAGACACTCCTGGGGAGAGGTGATCTTGACACTGCAGTGAGTCTCGCAGGACCTCACCGTCCAGTGCCACCAGCTCCAACGTGTGGCTGCTGGGAGTCGCGCTTCCCAAGGAGGTGTCGGGGGACGTGGACTGCTCCTGGATCCGGTCCTCCAGCGACAGCTTATAGTTCTCCTGGACTTCCCCATAGGATGCTTCTGATGGAGTCTCTGAAGAGTTTCCATACCAGTGTTCTCCTTCACTGAGCTCTCCCTCCGCCTCTTCCTGCCTACTAACATCTGGGGAGAATTAAGAAGATCAGGTTTACTCCCAAAGTGAGCAATAGGTCAGTCTCGAGACATTCAAATGGAGTTGATGACATGCTTTCTCTTCCCTTCCACCCAAGAACCAAATGAAAGGTGGCAACAGCCTTAACAGAATGTCAGATGCTGAATCAGACAGACTTGGCAGAAGCCTTGAAAAAAGTAAAAAAGTGATAAACAGGCAAAGGCAAAAACACACCCACGTAGTCCAGGTAAGTTGAAATGGAAAAGAAGGAAAAAGAAAAAATGGATCTGGTAAAGAGGTAACTGGAAGAAGAAACTGCTGTTTTCGGTGAATGGGGGGAAATGGGAAGTCTATATCCTTATGAAAACCCAGCACTGTATGTTTAGCACTGTGACAGAATGAGAGGGGCAGGCTGGCATGGTGGGACACAGACCGTGAGACACAAACCGTGGGAAGTGCTTCCCTACTTTCCACCTGGGTGACTCTAGGCAAGTCATTTAGCTGGTTTGAGAATCCACTTCCTCCAATATAAGATGCAATTTTTTAAAAAAAGCTTATAAAAAATGTAAATAATACCTGTTTAACTCACTTCACCAGTTGTTATGGAGCTTAAATCATAATAACCATCTGATGATGTTTTGAAAACAGTCAAGTACTGTATAAAATCAGATTGCATGAGCAAACACTACTCACATTTCTGACTTCTGACTGTGACAATACTCCCATGTTATGCATGCTACCTATTTGAGGGACTTCAACTTCAGTCACCAACATGCTTGCCATCTTATCACAGGCCCTGATTAGGAATCTGTTCCCTCCCTCCACTAAGAGTCCCTTTTCGTTACTTTCTATTTATCGATCCGCCACTACCACTCCCATGTGCCAGTTAGGCAGGCTCCTTGCATTCATAAGCCCTGCCACTTTTCTGCCTTTGCTCACAATATTCCTTCTATCTGAAAGGTCTTTCCCCCAGAAAAGCTGACTATCCAATTCTACTTACCCTTCAACATCTGGCTTAAAGATTTCTTCCTTTTGATTCTCCCTGGAACTCTCAGTCAGAATTAATTTCTCCTTCTTATTCCCTCATTTAACAGACAAATACAACTGTATACTACATGCCAAGCATGGTTCTAGATTGCCTAGTTTGTTCTAGATTGAGTAACATTGAACAAAACTAAGATGCTGCCTTCTTGGAGCTTACATTCCAGTGAGGGAAGACATGCGTCAAACAATATTAATAAATGAGTAACTCACATAGTATCCCAGAGGGTGATAAGTCCTATGGAAAACCACATAGGGCAGGACATGGAGAATGGGGAGTAATGGGTGGGAAGACAGCTGAAATTTTAAACAATGGTCAAGGTGGAGCTTCACAGATGTGGTGACATTTGAGCAAAGATTTCAAGGAAGTGAGAAACTGACCACGCAGAGGGAGAGTCACTGTGAAGGCCCTGCTGTGGGAACATGCCTGGCACATCCATGGAACAGCACTGAAGCTATTGTGGGTGGAGTGCAGTGAGTGAGGTCAGAGCAGTGACACAGGAGGTAAGAGAATACCGAGTGTGTGTGAGCACGTGTATGGCAGTGTGTGTGTGTGCACGTGTGTGTGTGTGCATGCACTGTGGTGCAGGAATGAGGTCATGCAGATCCACAGGACATTGTGAACTGCAGAAGAGTCTTCTGCATTTGGCAAAATTGGGGACCACTGGAGAGTTTGTGGCAAGGGAGTGTTACGACGTGACTTATGTTGTCAAACCTTTGTTCTGGCTGCTGTGTGGGAAACATGAGTCCAGGTACAAGGAGGAGCACAAGAAGGCCCGCCACGAGGCCAGAATCCAGGTAGGGATTATGAAGGCTCAGCTCAGGATTGCAAGGGTTGAGAAGTGACCCAATTAGATGCATATTTTGATTGCAGAGCCAACATTCTCATATTTTGTTCATATTGACTTTATATTACTCCAAATTATCTGTCTGCTGTGGGCTTCCCTTCTAAAGTGGTGCTCCTAGAGGGCAGGAATTGTATTTTATTATCTACATATTCCACACTTGTGCCTAGCACAATGTCTGGTCCCCAGCAGAGTTCCATGTATCTGTAGGAATTGAGCCAAAATCCCTCCTTGTGCCACGTTTTGTCACATAACATGCTGTTTCTTTCTGACATAGAAATAACTAGAACTAGTAATGCATGAACTACACACTAATACATTGATCTTCCCATGCTATTTAGAGAAGAAATGTCACAAATGACAAATTTTCTTTCACAGAGCTAAAATTCTGCAACTCCTTCCTGAGATTCTTTATTAAGTTATCAAGAAAATGTAAAATATCAAATGGAATTTGCTGGGAAAAAGCACATAAAATTGAATTTTCTCTGTTAAAAACAGTCTAGTTCTTTGTGATCTGCCACATTTCCTTCTTCCCACTTGATTTCAACATTTTTCATCTTTCCTAAAATAGGCGGAGACCCTAAACTCATCATTTCCCCAGTGGCTTCTTGGAGAGATGCTTTTTACCAAACACCAAGCAGTCCAAACCAATTTCAACAACAGGGCTAATTTTTTGTTTCTTTGGCAAATCACCTTTCTTGATTGCAGATTAAACATCTCATCCTTCAGTAGAATCACATACGAAGTATCCTACAAATACTAAGTCAAAAGTTTAAAAATCCCTACAGTAAGAATTTGTTGCGTATCTGCTCAAAGAATCTTTTTTTAAAATCTTTATTATTAAATGAAGTACACTCACTAAGTGAAGTAAAGGGAAAACATATTATTCAAATTTAAATACTTTTAGGTCATATGTGTGTCATACCAGAGTAGCTCTAGATGTCAAGAATGGTCACAAACTAATGCAGGATCACCTAACAACATACATAAAATCTAGGTTTTGAGAACCACAAAAAGTTACAACCACACACTCAATCTTGTCACATTACTCAGACTATTAAATATGTTTAATTCAAGGTTACTGGCTGAATCAATGACACACGACCATGTAGAGCTAATGCAGAAACCAAGAACCCCAAATCTCTCAGTGACTCAGTGCTACTCTGCAAGGCTCCACTGCACAATCTGCAAACAGAACCTCTGTATGGCAACTTCTAGAGCGCTCTGATCAGCTGCTCACCTCCTTTCCATTCCCCATCCTTCCTGCCAGCCTCTTGAATCAGAAATCAGCAAGGGATTCTCTTAAGGACAGTATTCACTCTTTATCTTGAGCTAAATCATTAAGAGGTGAGTACTCATTATTTCTGTACTTTAATCTCTTTATTCCCATTCTGGTTCTTTGTTGCAGTCCAAAAGGAGATTCAAATGCCTAAAGAATTTAGCACTTCTACTTGCAAAGTGCCAAAAGCAAAGCTTAATTTCCTAACCCCCTCCACACCCTCAGTGAGCAAGAATATTCCCCCTCCAAATGCGCGGAAACAGGTGAGTGTGCAAACAGGTAAGCGTGCCAAAGGCTAAAAAAACAGTCAATCTAGGCTCTAATCCTACCAGTGATAAAGATGTCTGAACATTCTTGAAAGACACAAGAGCTAATATCTACATTTAAGGCAACTTTCCTATCCTTGCCAAAACACAAATTCAAAACAAACAACTGAGTAAACAAAGTATTTCTTAAACAGAACTGTTTATAGCTCCTAAAATGCCTGGATAATTTCTCAGCCATCCATCCCTCTGTTGTTTGCAGATTCGATCACTGATATACACACGCTTCTGGACTGCAAGAAGACTTGGATGCCTGAAGACTATCTCTTGGCTGGGCATGGTGGCTCACATCTGTAATCCCGGCACTTTAGTAAACTGAGGAGGATGGATCATGAGGCCAAGAGTTCGAGACCAGCCTGACCAACATGGAGAAACCCTGTCTCTACTAAAAATACAAAATGTTAGCCAGGCATGGTGGCATGCACCTGTAGTCTCAGCTATTCAGGAGGCTGAGGCAAAAGAATCCCTGGAACCTGGAAGGCAGAGGTTGCAGTGAGCAGAGATCATGCCACTGCACTTCAGCCTGGGTGACACAGAGAGACTCTGTCTCAAAAAAAAGAAATAAAAAGAGTATCTCTTAAATTCATAATACCCTATTAATCGCTTTTCTGAAGATGCTGCTACTGAAATTGAGGTTATTCAAGAAATAAGTTACCATATATTTTTAATGTGTGGCCTAGAAAGAGAAAGAGCAGGAACTTGAAGAGAAACATCTGAAATTATTCTGGCAATACCTGAGGTCAAATAAATGGTGGGGGTAGCTTTTGGAGAAATGAATGCAAGATAAATGAGGATGTACAGAGGGCGGGGAAAAATCTTAAGAAGCTCAAACAAATATGTCTGTGTTCACAAAACAGCAAGGATTTTCTCCCACTTTTTTTTTCTTTTTCGCCTGCTAGTCTCCTCTATTTTCCTGTTCAATCTCATCAAGAAGGAGTTCTTGAAGGCTGCGATGGTCCAGCTATGGTGAGCTCCCCTTCTACAGAGTCTATAGGACAACCTGCACCTTTTCTAGCCTGGAATTTCTTTTCACACTACATTGTAAGAAAAGCTTCTCTCATTGGGAAGCCCAAAACAAAGCATGCCTGAAATCTAGAGGATGAATTTGCTGGACACAACAAACTTGAGAATATATAAGCATTGACTTTTGTGTCTTTCTTTCACAATCTGAGAAGTCTCAGGCAGCAAGATACCTCCATTTTCCAGTCTGCCAACCAGCTCAGACTCCTCGCACGGAATCACAGAGCAGCACCACATAAGTCGGGGTCCTGGAAATGCCTCCTGCAGTACAGTGACTATGGATTTCACAGCTTTCTTAACTAAGGCTTCCCTGGGAAGCCTCTGAATGGCCAAAGTAAATAACTTCTTTGTAAATACATTATTTTTAACCTCCAGAGAAGAAAGCTACTTTCCTTGCTAATTTTACAACAACCTCTGTCTCTGACTGTCAGGTTCACACTGTTTCTTGTCAATTTTACACAACAGTCTGTTTTTGTGTGTGTTTTCCCTTAAAATCAGAAACACAAAGAATTAAGAATAGCAATGGTGCAATTACAGAATGAAAATATGCTGAATACATTTTGTTTCCATGTGGCGAATATTTCTCCTTTGGGGAAAACAAAACAAAATTCCACTACCTAACACATTTATTTATAATTCAGTTCTCAAGCAGCAACTCGGTAACTTGATAGCTACAACTCTTGCTGCATTCTTGGTAGAGAATGTCTTTTCAACTCAATTCCTTTTTGGTTGACAGTTTTAATCACATACATTTAATTGGACCAATATACAACTCAGAGCATCCTTGTTCAGAAAGATTGGGAATGCAGAGTGAAAAAATATACAAGAAAGAGACGCCTATTAATTTTCATGCTTTTTGGTTGAAGCAAGTGGGGAAGGAAGCCTAAATGTCCCATTTCTAAATCTACTCACAAACTATTCCTACCAGTCACCCACATGAATAGTCAGTCCACATGAATCTAGCCAGCAGGTGTTAATAAGAACAGGACTCAAATTCTTAAGACTCACCTGGTCGATTCTCTAACAATCAGTGTCTCCAGCACTCTCTTCTTGTGACCACAGGTATGTTCACCTGGTACCTACCAACCAACCTTCTGGTTTATTTTCATGTAAAAATCTTTTAAGTTTTCCCTTTCCTACTTATACACCTCTAAACATAAATATCTATGCCAATTAAGATGGTAAATTAGCATTACCAGTTATGCTCATAAGTACTACAAATCATACAACCAACTTTTACATGCAGTTTACCATAAAAGTAGTTTGTAAAGTTTAATACAAAAGTTATTATCAAAACGAGTGCTAATAATTGACTTATTTCAGCAAGCATTTACTGATCACCTACTATGTTCTGGGAACTGTTCCCCACAAAGGGAAACTCAGAGACACAACACTCTCTGGCATAAAAGTTTACAATCAACAGACGAATGAGGGGTTCACAAGCATTCAAAGCATAATGACTGGTGCCACCATTCAAAAACAGCAAGGGTTGTGCGAGCACAGAAGAGGGAATAATTCCAGCAATGCAGGTGGCTTTGAAAGTGGATCTTAAACGGCGAAGGCTATTTTAATGGTAGACAGAAATTCATTTACAAGTAGCCTTGCTCCTCTGCAAACTATCAAAAAGGAAATATGTCAATCATGGAGCTAGCTAATATCCAAGTGATACATGTTGGATAAATTAACCCAATGAAAAAATTTTATATTCTTATAAAATACGCTATCTTCACATCTTAAAAATACACTATGTATTGATTTGTCAAAGGTAGACCTTACCAACTACTTTATCATACTCACTAGTTTTGAAATCAAACTATACATAATAAATACCTGGAGGAAGGGCTATGAGTTACTCATTTTTGTGTTCCTTCTCGATGCCCTGCTCATAGTAGGGGTATCTGGGCTCCTGTGGTTGTAAATGACAGAAAACCAGCAGGACCGCATGAAGCAGTAAGGGAATTTTCTCAGTTCCTGTACCAAACAATAAAAGGGGCACAATGGAGCCAGCATCAGATAGGATGTCGAAAGCACCATCAGGGCTCTCTCTCATTCTCCTCTAGTCTCTTTCTCTCTGGCCACTTTTCCCAGGAGGCTGAAAACCTGGCTGCAACCGGTTCTGGGTTTTCACTCTCAATGACTTCCCACTAGAGAAAGGTCTTTCTGCCTCTGATTGGCCTGTTGGAGGTCATGTTCCCCTTCCTGGGCCTATCACTGAAGCCAGGGGGCGGGTTCTACAATGGGCTCAATGTGGGTCACAGAAGAAAGGAGAGGGAAGAGGTATCAGGAAGACAAAGGCAATGACCTCTATAACGTTTAATAAAGGGTTCTTCTGCCGCATATCAGGCTGTTCTGAACCAATTTTATGATGCCAAGCATAAAACACATCCGCATTTAGGCCGGTTTTACTTGCCAAGTTTTGAATTGTCCCTTTGTAGCCTGAAAGCCTTAGCACATCCCCCACACCAGGTCTGCCTGAAACTAAGAGACCTCTCGCGTCTTCAGGGCTCCAAGTCCACAGTCTGAGGTAAACGCACGGCTGGCAATCGGCTCCACAGGACAGAGACTTAGAGATTACAGTTATCAAAACATGGATGCCCAGGACGCCCAACCGCTGTCAGCGTGGCCAGGAAGAAAATGTAAGAACTGCTAGTTATTTAAAACTGCCAGGGTGGAGAAGACAACCAGATTCCTGTCACCAGTCCAGCTCGGGAAAAGGTGCCGCAAAGGCATGAGGAAATGAGAGGAAGTCTGGAGAGCAGAAGAGTCCACAGACAGAGAGCCGGGGGCTCCTGGGTCAAGACGAGCGTTTGGCACACAGCAAAATTGTGAAATCATTCTCCCAAATGACAGTGAGTAAAATAAAGGTAACACAAATGAACACATCATTCCTCTGCAGAGTGAGTTCCAAATAGTAGCTAAGTCAGTTTCAGTATTCTCATATAAAGTATTTAGATCTAACATGGCCGAGGAGCTGCCCGAGCTCCTTACTCAAGCTGCCCAACTCAGCAGGAATGGCAACTCCCCCATTCTTCCAATTGCTTAGACCCAAATCCATGCCACCTCCCTGGACTCTCCTCTTTCTCTCAAACCCCACATCCAATTCGTTCTCAGATTCTGTTGGTTCTACCTTCAATAGAGGTACCAAATCTGGCCACTTGGCACCATTTCCACCACTGCTAACCTGGTACCCAGTGCTGCCGTCCCCCACCTGTACTAAGGCTATAGCCTTCCAACTGGTCTCCTTACTTTCCAGTCTTGCTCCATCATTCTCAACCAGCAGCCAGAAGACATTCTCAAAAATAGTATGTCAAATTCCGTTCCTCCCATCCCCAAAGCCTCCACAATGGTTTCCCACGGTTCTCGGAATAAAACACAAAACTCTTACCTGGACCTCAAGGCATCCCTCATCCGTCTCCTGGTGACCTCCTTTCTTAACACTCTCCCTTACTGGGAAAATAACCTCCTGCCTCAGGGCCTTTGCAATTGCTCTTCCTTTGCCTGAAATCCCTTTTCCCACACAACAGCCACATGCCTGAGTCCCCTAATTCCTTAGGTCCACCCTCGAGCCTCACTGTTTTTTGGAATACAAGCTCTGAGAGAGGGCTTCGTTTTGGTTGCTGCTGCATCCTCAGCATTTAGGATGGTACTGAACATAGAGCAGGCACTCAATTATTATTTGTCCAGTGCATACATGAAATGGAAGAATGGGCTGAACGATCATAAAGGTAACACCTGTCAGTAATGGAAATGAGAACTATTTTCAAAATTATATTGCTATTTTTCTCATGTGAGTCAAACTTGGAACAGAGAAAAAGCCTGTTTTGCAAACTTCCACCACTTTCCCCAATGGCCAAGAAAGAACCGCACTGTAGGGGAACTTGGAACTAAAGTTGCAGCCCCCTCTAAGAAGCCCCCACCTTCTTTGAATTTTAGCTTGACATTTCAAGTGAATTCTGCATTCTACTCTATACATAGCTGTGTCATCAAGGAAACTTTATTCTCTAGAAAGATGCAACCTACTTCTCCAGGTACCCACCTGCTTTGGAGAAACATATACCTTATTTGTAGAAGCAAGAACGTATAAAAATACCTAGCACAAGGACAAGAGCAATAAGGGGTGATTATCATTATTACTGCTATTACTAACCAGAAAACAGTACTAGACCTATTACCCCCACTTTCAAAGACAAAAGGGAAGATGCAGAGGATAAAGTAACTTGCCAGTATGATACAATTAATCTGTAAGATATCAAAAACTATTTGTTATATTTGAATTTTGTTATATGAATTATTTTAGAGATGAAAAAGCCTTGGAAATCTAGTCTATATGGCTAGTTTCTAGTTAGAGGCCTAGAAAGGGCCAGAGATTTGCCCAAGGTCCCATAGATGATTTCCAAACATACACAGTGCTAGAGCTCAGATGTCCCAATACCACTAAACCATGGTACCTTTCAATCAACATTAAGTGAATTAATGAATGAATTCTAGAACAAGCCCTGGCATACAGCAGGCTCCCAATAAACATTTGTTGAATGAATGAATAATCATGAAAATACATCTGGAGCTACGATAGATGTTTTCATATTCATCAGCAAATTTCATCCTCACAGTAATTTTATATGGGAAACCAAACTCTTCATTTTACAGACCAGAAAACCAAAGTTCCAAAAAGTCAATGGTTTACACAATATGCATGCTTATTGAGGGACAACGCCAAGCTGAAACCCAAATATTCAGAACGTCTGACAACATGTGAACAGCTTGACGAAAAGGAATTTTTCAGGTAACCAAAAATTACCAAAGTAGCATCAAGTACTCAAGATTTTTACAATTTTATTTTGGTGGGATTTAAAAGTGCAAACACACTCAAACACAGTGTGTTGGTGCTGTTATGTCTGTTATACATAAATGTGTTTCAGGAGCTACTGGAACTTTCAGCAGTTTGTCCCTACATTAAATGGCCCCAAGCAACTATGTATTTTAAGTCCTTATTCCTACTTTAATAGTCTTTTTGAATACTTTTGCTCTCCATGATACCCTCAGCAGAGACCCTTTCTCCTACATTTATAACTCTGTCTGCATAAACTGAGATGAAAATCACCAGACTTATTAAAACTGTGTGCAAACTTGGAATGAATACCTGGTATCATGGGTTGAATTGTGTTTCCTCAAAAGATATTGAAGTTCTGACCTCCAGTACATATGACTGTGACCTTATTTGGAAATAGGCATCTACAGATAATCAAGTTGAGATGAGGTCATTAAGGTCATTGAATCTAGTAGGACCGGTGTCCTTATAAAAGGGAGGAATTTGGATGCAGAGACCCACATGCACACAGGAAGAACACCATGAGATATGTTGTCATAAACCTAGAAACTACCAGAAGCTGGGCAAGAGGACTGGAACAGACCCTTCCCTACCGCCTTCAGAGGGAGTATGGCCTTGTGAATACCTTGAGGGCAGACTTTTAGCCTCCAGAATAGTGAGACAATATATTTCTGTTGTTTAAGCAGTGGTTTGTGATACTTTGTTACAGCAACCCAAGAAAACTAATATAAGTATATTTGGATGAAGGCCTGAGGCTTTTTTCCTGGATTTTTTCCCCTCTGGATCCTCAACCATTGCCTCAGTTTGTAATGTAGTTTTTGTAATAAGCTAGGTATTATTACATAACACTGACCACACTGCTGATCAGTGTTAAGTCTTGTGAGGCTGGAAGGACTATGAGAGGACTAATATTATTTTTGCCTATCTCTCAATTTTAGTCAAATTTCTTTCGAATGAAAGATTTAAAAAAAAATAGGCCGAGCACAGTGGCTCACACCTATAATCCCAGCACTTATGGAGGCCAAGGCTGGCAGATCGCTTGAGCTCAGGAGTTCAAGACCAGCTTGGGTAATATGGCAAAACCACATCTCTACCAAAAATACAAAAATTAGCCAGGTGTGATGGTGCATGTCTGTGGTCCCAGCTACTCTAGAGGCTGAGGCAGGAGGATCACTTGAGCCCGGGAAGTGGAGGTTGCAGCGAGTCATGATTGTACCACTGCATTCCAGCCTGGGCAGCAGAGCAAGACCCTGTCTCCAAAAAAAAAAAAAATTAGCAAGAGAGGCTTTCTATTACTATGACTACTTAGAAATCTCCAAACAAAAAGATATACTTACATCCTTACTCATGTTTCAGCAAATTAATAAGAAAGGAATAGTTGAAAAGATAGCTTGAATTCACTCACCAAAAGACCACTAAGACCAAAATGGAACTGGTTAGTACACGGATTGATTACTTGCTCTCTCACTCTTTCATGCACCTCCATATTACAAAAGGCTCATAGGATCTGTCCCCTCAAGCAATCAGAAGTAAATTTACCATGGCTACCACATCGTTATCAGAAAAATTGTCTGCTAAGGCTGATAAATCAGTTGATTATCTGCCTCCTTGACTTTTATTTTTTTTGTATAAATGTTTTCATTTTAATATTACTAATACTTGTTAGAAGATGAGTAATAAATTACCAAACTTCTGAAATCACCAGAAAACCCTTACTAGAGCAAAGAACCTAACCAAAAAACAAACCCCCTCGAAAGCCCTAATCATATAACAATGTACTCTGCAGTCTAAGAAATAGCATTCTATGGATAAATGGTTACTTATCAAAATCTTAGCTTATACATAAAATGATACATTTCTTTGTAGATACACACAGACACAGGTACACATATATACACCAAGAGCAATGGCATCATGTACCTTGTAATGAAACATGTTATAGTCATAATCATTCTGTCTGCCAAAAAAAAACTTCATACAGTAAGTCCTTTATTTACTAAAAATACACATATATCCAGAAAGAAGAGGGCCGTGGGAGACAAGAGACTTAGCAAGGGAAAAGAGACAAAATAGCTTTTTATTTAGTGCTTAAATATATATAAAACAAAAGCTGCAAGGAGGCAGCTTTCCCCAGTGCACCCTCCCCAACCCACCACCAACACATTCACAAAATATTGGTGCAATTGATTGTATGAGAATATTTTTTACCCATTATGCACAAGTATCCATGACAGCAAAGGACAACCGATTTCAAGTTAACTCAAAGTTAACTTTAAACACTGATTTAGGCCAACAGCTTTAACCTTTATTCCTACTAGGCTTTGTGCCAGGGCTGCTATCAAGTGGTCAAATGTATTCTTATTCCTTGTCTCCTTTTATTTTCCCTGCCCACCTTCTGGTACACACAGAAGAAGTCAGCAGTAGAGAGCAAAATAAATAATTAATTAATTAAAAAAAAAAAAAAAAACAAACAAACAATAACAAAAGCTGCAATCAACCAACAAGCTAAGGTAATTTGAAGGGCCAGGATACCCCACAGCTAAATTAATATTCCCTTAACAATTCAAGTCCAGTGGTTTTATCCATTTAATTCTCTTTGAAGAATCCTAAAGATACCTTCCTTTCTTCTTGGGCATTCCTCAGGTATGCCACTTGGGGTTTTCACTAAGAGGGCTATTCTAGATATTTCACCTAAAAGAAAATCAGCACTGTTTTCTAGGACTTTGTCCCTAGCAGTGATGCTCCAAAGAGCCATTCATTCCGTCCCCAACAAAACTCGGATGCTTCTTGTCTTAGTTGATTTCATGTTTCTAAAACAGAATACTTAAGACTGGGTAATTGATAAGGAACAGAAATTTACTAGCTTGTGATTCTGAAGCCCTGGGGGCCACATGTAGTGAGGGCCTTCTTGCTGAATCATGACAACAGAAGACATCCTGCCAAGAGAGAGCAAGAGCAACAGATGGCCAAAATAACTTTTATAAAAACTCACTCTCCCAATAACCAACATACTCCCGAGATAAGGATATTAGTCCCTTCAAAGGACAGAGCTCTCCTGACCTAATCACCCCTTAAAGGTTCCACTTTCTCAACACTGTTGCATTGAGGATTAAGTTTCCAACATCTGAATTCTGGGGGATGCATTTGAACCACAGCATTCCAACCTTGG